CAGCATGAACTCCCAATTCATGCTATATGCGAATTCCGATATGAATGGAGTTCGTACCCACTGACACATACACAACCTCTCACTTCATGCAAGGTACCACAATAACAGACGACAAGCTATAAATATATATATATACTAGCGCACCAATCTATTACCATCGCATCGCTAGCACTTGTTGGATATATGGTAAAGTGTTGATGGAAATTGGTATAGAGCTTGTTTCCAATGAGAACTTTATTATCAATCATCATATGTATCCATATTCGTGTATTCAGAACATTGACGTAGATCATGCCTTGGAAATAAATCTTGTGTAAACGAGGTTAAACGTGGTGAAAAACGAGCGACAAACCAGAAGTCTTGATAAATGCTGTGGTAACAAGTTTTAATATGAACACTCTGTTGGTTTGATATTTGAAATATAAATGCGGTCCACGGTTGTAACCAACAGAGAGGCTCCTATAGCGGTCAAGATAGATGGTTTCTATATGCGTGACCCTTGCCGCATTGTTCACTGACTGACTGAAACAGAATAGGTAAAACTCTGGCATATATAAAGCGAGGAGAAGCATTCAAAACCAACGACAACCGAATATTCCTGAATATTATACGGCAAATAATACAAAAAAAAAACAATTGATATAATTTACTGAAGACTAACTTAATATCCATTGAGAATTATTCGTAAGAGTATGAAAACATGGGCATAGTATCATACGTAAAGTATGCTTCTCTTTCTTATTATTTTGTTTAATGAATTATATCAAAGACCATAATTGATGACATAAGAAAAGAAGCTCATCGTGTACTGAAAAATGATCTTTTTTCGAAGTGTCAAAATACATTGTATCAGGTGATGAAAAAATGAATTGGAATGAGAAACCTTTTTTTTTGTCCAAGGAAGAATGTCGTCTATCATGTTCACTTTTCAGTTTTAAAGCTCAACTAGATTTCAATTAAAGTTGAACATAACTGAACAAAAAACATCTAAGATCAGTTCTTTAAAATCCACTATTCAGCTTTTTTAACTTTTAATTTTTTAAAAGCTCCATTTAATTTTGCATAAATCTCAACATGTCAGGTCAGTAATTCTGGAGCTAAAATCTGTAGGGCATCTAGTAATCGGATCCAGTTCTAATGAAAAGTGACTGTCACTGGGCGAAACTGGTCATCATATCTGATCATCGTATTCCTGTTTTCAGGTTCCTACTATTTTTCAGCGTTTTCCGATTGGAAACGGTTCGTATTTCTTTTTCTGGATTTGACTGACACATATGTTACTAATCACATTCATCTTTTACAAAAATATTGGAAGAAAATTATAAAATGGAATGCACATGTATCGCAATCAAGATGAAAACAACATCGAATTCTATTCATTCGAAAAAACATTAATCTCTTTCAGAGTGCTACTAAAGAAATTACTCTTACCAAGTTCAAAATCGATTGAACTGATGCTCAATATGTATAAACACTTCGTTGAAAAAAACAGTAGTAACAAAACTCAATCATTTATAAGAGTACAATTTTAAGTTCTTCAGGAGCATGAGCCTCCTCTAGCTTCTATCTGCTTGCGTCACTATTTGAATGACAGCTGAATTCTAATCGTGATTTTTCTTTCCTTATTAGAAATAATTACCTATTATGTTGCTTGAAAAACTAATGTTTCATCATTTGTTGTATTAGTGATTAAATATCTTCTCTGTACTGACTTGGTGTTATTAAGTAATAGAATGCTAAAAATACATTATTAATTTTGATTAAACTTAAGCGTCTAAATTCATTATCATCTTAACTTCTCCATTTCAAATACTCGATTTAAACGTTAATTTATATTGTTTTTTTTCTTTGGTTTTTCTAATAGTCAATTTGTTAATTTCAATGTTTTGTTATTTCAAATACTGGCTTAATTTTATGTGAAAATAACTTGAAAAATTTGTATTCATGGATAAGATGATTTCAAGTGAATAATTTGTCATTATGATTCTTGTCAATCATTTGATTTCTTTTTTTCGTTTATATCACCCATTCATCTCAACGAAGTTTTCTCTCTTACATATTGATTAATACGAAAAACACCTGTACAGAACGAAAGAATAAAAATATTATTGGAAATTGTCCCATGTGTTTTGTTTATCTTTCGTATTCTTATGAGTTATCATCTATGATTACACCAATGAAAAACAATATAGTTTTTCTTGTTTGCACTAATGACATAAAATAAGAGTGATTTTGTAAAATCATCTTATATCATATAGTCAATGCATGTGTCATGTGTCATGCATGGCTAGATTAATACAAAAATTACGCAAGCGGAATACACGCCAACTGTTTCCTTGTTTTTTTTTTGACTATAAAAATGAGTGTTGTCAAAAGAATACAATATTTTCGTTTGACATCACACATTTGATATCAACATCATTCAAATTTAATTCGAGGTATGTAAATATGATACAAAAGTCAACATTGAATAGTTAAAATCAAATATGTCTTTCTTTGAAACTTAAAATATGTTTACTAAGATTTTCATCTCAGTCATTATATCAAAGCTGATGCTTCAGATATCAACTTATGGTCACTTATCTCAGAATTTATTATTTCATGTGTGATGATCAAGATTTATGATAGCTATTAAAATTGAACCATTCGATTCTAAACTATAAAAGCGATCTTAAATGTTTTTTTTCTGCTATATTCAATGAATGAATATTATTGAAAAATAAAATCATTATCAATCGAATTTTTTTATTATAGGTTAGGTATTTCGTCGATAAAATGGACTCAAATGAATCAGGATTTCTATCCCGAGGACAAATTCTTGATTATTTTCAAGTAAATTTGATATTACCGTCGGTTTTTATCTCACTTTTGTTAATTTTAGGCTGTAACTTGTTTCAATTTCGACGATTCAATTCGCTTTCTTGATCAATACCAATGGAACTTAAATGTAAGTTACACCATCATTTTTATAGAAAAGAAAAACAACGCACTTAACAGAAGAAAACTTCTCATTTTTGAACTCACTTTTATCTTCAAACCAATCTATTCTTGTTTCTTGTTTCAGAACGCACTACAAAATTTCTATGCCGACAATGGTAAGGTTTCATTTATTTTTCTCTTCTTACATTAACACATTGTTTTGTCTTGCATTTCGTGAAGTAGGTCTTACAAACACTGGTAATCAATGCTTTACTAGTATCCTTATAAGGGAACAAAATGATAAATATCTCGCTAAAATCATTAATGAGTCAGAAAATGATTCAAGAACTCAAAACGTAAGTATTGTTTGAATGTTTCAAAAAGAATAGAAATTAAATAAAGACAGAGTAAAATCATCTCTTTTTTGAACTTTCTTAGGGCATATCCAATCTTATTGTGATGGGTGAAATAAAACGAATTGCTCTTGTTGCTCACAATAATAAGAAGACAGAATTGATTGAATGTCTCCGACAACATCGCGATGTACTTGCTAAACATAAATTGTATGGTACTGGTACGACTGGATCATTAGTAGAAAAAGAACTTCAAATACCTGTAACTAAATTCGAAAGTGGTCCTTTAGGTGGTGATCAGCAGTTGGGTGCAAAAATTACTTCACGTGAACTTGATATTCTCATTTTTTTTATTGATCCTTTGGATTCTCATCCTCATAATTCCGATGTGCAAGCACTTCTTCGTTTAGCTCAAGTTTATGGTATTGTCTGTGCTACAACTGCTGCTACTGTCGATTTCTTACTTAGCTCAACAAAGATGAATGAACCTCATGTACGAAAAATACAAATAGGTCCAATTTCGAAACCAAAATAAGAACTCGTTTGATGTTTAGACATTTTATATTGTAATGATTATAGGAATATTAGCAATTTATGCTAACACTCACTTTGTATAATTGGTAGTAAAAAAAAAGCTTGTCAGTGTAGCCCGTTTGGGACTGAAATGTGAAACTCACATATCTTCTTTAGTCGGACAAAACTAATATAAAATACGTAAAGTAGAAAATCTGTCGCACGTTATAGTTGTTTTCCAAGCTAAACGATCGGCAAAAAAAACAATTTGTCTTGTATATTTCTGCATTTCGAAAAGAATTATGGTCTTTTACCGGGCGACTATTTTTTGTTTAAATTGTTACTATTTACTCGTTATTTTTTTTTCTATTTTTTCACATTCTTTTTTTCTTAATTTGACTATATTAACATTTCACCCATTGATTGAACTGGTTGGTGTGGGTGTATGCGATCAGAAGACCTATACCCATAAACATGTCTGTTTGAATTTTAAAAACATGTGACAGTACTTCACAAAATTGCTAGATACTAAATAATTTTTGACTGTGTTACCCATCAACTTGTAGCTAATCACTGAGACTTTAAGCACACAAAATATGAGTTGATTTGCTTTAGTTTTAAGAGAATACCAATCATTTTACTAATGAACTCATTTTTTCAGAACTCTCATATCACCTGTCTTAACAGCTGATATGTCGAGATTTTTCGGCAACCGCGAATACAATGACGTAGATGCTATGTGATTTTATTTATTATCATACTTCCTTTGATATGGGTCTCATAAAATGTAACTTTGTGAGACATGTATCTCTTGAACACTATTTATTCACTATGCATCTGAAGTTATGAGTGTGGATGTGGGTTTGAACATGGCAGCCACACTTACACTCAAATTCACAAGTCGCTTTCAATTCGCCTGAAAGTACAGATAACAAAAGGTGTGATTGCATGAACGAGACAACAGTAATACAGATCATGTGCTCGATCGATTTTATGGATTTCAATCAACATTTACTAGCACATTGCATTAAGTTAGGTGGCAGAAAGTCAAAAATTTCAACTTCTAAAATCGTTCTCTTGTTGAGATATTTAAACTACCAGGGTTAGTGTTGATGTCGATTTCCAGTTCATGCATAAGCACTCACATTCCGCATCAGCATCCAGCTGTTTTTTTTTCTTCATTAGATACATTTTCATAATTCATTTTCATCGAGGTTACACAACTGTATGATCGTCTAATATAAGTCCAACAGCACCGCGGTCCAAGTACATTTTTACTGTTGTTATAGACGCTTCCAGCGAATCTTGATACGATTTTAGACAGGTCTGATGATTTCGAAACTGTGGATGATTTGGTGGGAGACAGTGTAAATCAATGTCAAGTGCTTTTTGCTGGTAATCAATTGCTTCAACGAATCGACCCATTGCATTCATGCAAGAAGCTAAATTGCTATAGCTTGTAGCAAGATCAGGATGCATCGATGGAAGAATTTCGAGAGCCGTATTCAGTGCTTGCTGCAGATAACGTTTGCTTTCGTCTTTTTCTTCTTGCACCAACAGGATCATCCCAATATTATTATATCGAGTAAAGAGTTTCTTTTTGTTTAGAACATGATTAGAAAGTTCATGATTAAGACTTTCTTCATAATAAACTAAAGCAAGATTGTTATCACCCATTGTCTGATGAACAAAGCCGATATTATTATAAATACTGCTATAAATTGAATCATAACCATCTTGAATATGTTTCTGAATAAGTTCCAGTGATTGGTGGAAATAAGTAAGTGCTTGTTTGCCATCTTTCACACAAGTAAGACCTAGATTTTGGAAGATAGCTACTTGTTCTTTCCAATCAGTTTCTCTTTCAAGTCCTGTCAAATAGAAGAATTTCGCTTTCTCATAGTCTTCCAGTATATATAGTAGTTTGCCCAAAGTTCGGAGAGGATTGCTGCATTCTATTTCATTCACTAGATATGCGGCCAAGTCGATGAGCTTTATATCATATTCGTCTGTTATCAAAAGGTGGATGTTCCACACTTCTTCATTCTGCCTATCTACTCTTCTTATTCTGAATATACTTCCGATTGTAAACAGATATTCTTCTTCAGCTTCACCGAAAAAACTAATGGAATCAATTTTGGCAAATGGAAATTCATTTGTAATAATATCAATATCCATTTGAAATAATACTGCAGTAAGATCTTCATTATTAAAAGTATTTCCAGCATAAATGAGTGCTAAATTTTTGTTAGCCGTGGTAGAAAGAAAATTGTTAAATGAAAGAAGACCACCAACATTATTCTTGATTCTTTCAAAACTTTGTTTGGTCATTTGCTGACCACGATAAAGAGTGAGAGTGGTGGAATTAGTGCCATTGTGCTTCATTTCTTCGCGTCGTATTTTTGACTGGCTTTCGAAAGTATCTATAAGCTGTTTATATAAGTGGTTTATGAACATACAAAGGAAGTATAGTGTGTAGACGTCTTGTTCTCGCAGAGCTTTATTGAGAATCTTATATAGGAATCCCCTTCTTTCGTATGCCACCAAATTGGCGAATGGTTTCGATAATCATGTTCTAGCTCACAAACTGTCACTAATGCGCTGACGTTGTCCATATACTGAGTTCGACAAAAATCAAGCATGTCTATAGGATCCTTTTCATCCATTTTCGACAATATATTCGAAATAATTTGTAGGTACATGAACGAAGCTTCTTGCATGTTAAAATCTTCTCCTTCTCGTGTTGAATTTTTGCTATCTGACACTGATGTTTTATTGTCGCAAAGTAAGTTTATTGTGATAGTATCTCGTTCATATCGTCTTGCAAAACGTTTAATCTGCTGACACAGAGACATGAAGTCATCGAAAATACCTTTATATTTTGGACAATTGTTACTTGTCCATCGATTATATGTTAGTTTGTTCTCACGAAAAAAGTAAATCTCTTCAATTTGATTGAAGTCATGTAAAATTGGTAAAAGTTTTCCTCCAACAGATTCATCAACAAGCAGAAGCATTTTTTCATTGTGTACATCGGTAACAAAGTCAATACATTCATCTGGATTAATAAAAATATGAACATCAATGATAATGGATCGTAATTGTTCAATATACTCGTCTACGAAATTTACATTAAGACAAATAATTAAGCATTTTTCTAGATGCATTATTTCACCAAATTCTCTTGCCGAAGAAATTATAGAGGGAGTCGAATCAGCCATTTGAAAAACAATTGCGTCTTTTCGGGTACGAAGTTGGATGTTAACCGATGAGACCTTTCATAAACGAAACAATTATGCTTGTGTATTCTCGTACATTCAAAAGATGCGCAAAACAACTGAGCGTTTCACTTATAGCGAAGTTCCTTTCTAAAAAAAAGAAACATTTCAAATATACTTGATAGAGAACGAATGAACAGGCAGATTTATTTTTTGCGATTGTAAAACATAAAAATAAATGAAGCAGGAATCTTTTCAAAAGGAAGCGAACCGTTATACCTGTCGTCTTCTGTTTGCGGAATCGTGTACTGCTGTGAATCAACTCATAAGTGGAGAAAAAAAATTCTTTTTGTCTTGTAACATGATTAATTACATTAATTTTTTGATCTCGTATCGTTTTTTCTGACTTCTCAATCTTTCGCTAAAAAACGCATTCAAATTTCGGCCAGGTCTTAACGATTTTTCAGTTTGTCCGAGTACTCATTTTAGAAAGATTTCAATAATCACGAAAGTCACGAGGGAGAATTCTGAAGGTATCCACAGATTATGTGAAAGTAGTAAAATCGATGTTCAAACGTTTATTCGATTCCCTGTTGGAATGAATTTGCATAAGGCATATTGAGTCATATGAAAAGCTCATGAACACAAAGTTAAAACTTCATGCTAACTGATTCAATTGCTGTTAGCTTGAAAACTTGATTAAGCAGTAAAATTACGTGAGAAGATTATAATGTATTAGTAGAGTTTAAATTAGAAATAATCAAATGTGTGAGAAGCAAACAAACTGAGTCATATAAAAATTATCTGTCTTAGTCAATTTAAATGATTAGCATTGATTTTGAAAACCAAGCTTCTTCTAAGTTCACAAAATTATAAATTTTTTGACCAAACAAAAAAACTTTTTCTTTATTAATCGGAAATTTCAATAATGTTTTTGTTAAATTTTCGACCATTTTTTACTGTTGAAATTCAGGACAAAAATTGTTCTACAACTGTTATTATGTGCTTTACAAGCGACACACGCGTTTGTCTTACCTTTTTCCTTTTATGTTCTTCGTTTCTAGACAAGTAGTAAATTTGAAGAAATGTGTAGATATTTTTACCTTTGCTCACACTACTAAGCAAAAGAAAATAAGTGGTATGATCGAACGAGACGGCTGATGAATGTATATAGTAAGCGTTGGTTGCCCTGGACTGATGTCTACGGTTTGCAGAACGTTTATTAATTCATTTCATTTGTCTGAAACACGTCTTTTAAACCACTGCATTTTTGATTCTACATAGTTTGATTTTTGGGGCTGTTTTATATTTTAGTTTTGACATATTTCATGCTTTTGCATTTTTGGCTTCAAATCAATTGTTGGGTGACTTTGCATTGTGATTTTTTCATTTTCTCTTCGTCCATCGGAGACACATCGCTGTTCGCTTATGCTTCTTTCTTGTTCTTTTGTTTTTCTTTCCATGGTTACGACTCACGTAGTGTGTGAGCGTGGAGAGTCAGCATGGATATAGTTTTTGCTATGGATATGATTTTTTCCTTTACCTATTCACAGACCCAACACCCATAAATTTTAATAATCTGTCACCTGTTCAAGTCAGGAATATTTGATTCTAAAGAATGCAACTATTGCAAGTGATAATTAGCTCGCTAGTTAAAAATTGATTTATACAACCCATGGCACTGTGCGATGGTGTAATAACAATACCATTCAGGTACATTTTAAGATTTTCTTTGTCTTCGTAGATCAGGCTTAACGTTCGGATCGTGATAAGTCAGAAGATATAGAAAGAAGAAGCTAGTAATAAAATTGAAATATGACATTGTGCCAATTAATAACTTTATTTGATTTCGATGAGATGAGAAAACAAGAAAAAAGCAAAGGTCAATATGCCTCTATAGCTCAGTGGTAATGAAATGTTCTCCAATAATATAGTCAAATATTTGAATGGAAAACAAATAAAACATTAGTTCGAATGATTTCATATTTGAATAAACAAAAGAGCGCCAGTCTCGTAAACTGGAGGTCCGTAGTTCGATCCTGCGTGAAGGCATTTAATGTTTATATTATTGGTTTTTGTTTTTAACACGATTTAAGTTCTTAATTTTTGATCATTAAAGAAATTTTTCTTTTGGACTTGTCTAAGGGTGTGGATGACGAGTGCCAGTGTGGATGGGTGTTTATATGACTGGTATCCACATCCACACCCTCACCCACCGACACACCTATTTTTTTAAAATAAGTATTAACACAACCGGCACATATAAGAGCGAAACAGATCTTATCGGAATGTTATTATTCTGATATTAGTTGAAGTATGATTAAATGGCATAGAAAAATAGAGTATTATTTTCTCTATCAGACTATATAGAGAGAAAATTTCTTTAAGCTTTTTATAAGGAAATATAGTATCACTCTCACTACTTTTGAACTTCCCTAAGTATGTGATGAAGATAAAATGGAAGTAGACAAAATCTTAGAAGATGCAATTGCGAACATACCTATAAATATACAAAAATTAAATTTCATAATGAATTGAATGAATGTTTGTTTTCTTACCATAACTAGATAAACTCGTTCAACTTCAAGATAGTTGAACGGATTAGATGATGTCACATCAATTAATAAAGTATGTATTTATTTTGTTAAATGATTACATAATAATGTACTAAATTCATTTGGTTTAATATTGATTTAGATGAAGACATCAAAGAAATATTGTTTGATGAAATTTAAGAGACGATGAAATGGTAAATCATCAACAAACAATGCGGCTTAGTGTTATACGCAATGAGACAAAATGCCGCCCGATTAATTTCGAAACATTTTGACAAATACAGCAGGTAGAAACTCAAACACACTAACACCCACTGCATCTCTCATGCTTATCCTTAATGGATTATATATATATATGGATATACACAATAATATACGGATGTGCATTTCGTTGAATAATTATTGTTCTTCAAATTGTAACACTTTAAACTATTCTACAATAATTATTTAAATGAAAATAAAATAAATATCTTTTTCAAAATTTAATTCTTCTTCCGACCTGGAAATAAAGAAAAATTTTATAAAATTATCAATTCATGCAATTAACAAACTTATGTTTATCGTCATATATAAAATGACAGGCAAAATAATATCAATATTGAGACAGATAAAAATCAATAAAAAAAGCACTTGAAGACTTATATAAAATTAAATACGTTTCAAAATGTAAAAGCCATACATTCTAATGCGTTACAATTTCCAAACAACCTTCTAATCATTTAAAACTCTAACCAATAAATAACTAGTAAAAGCATATAGATTCATGGTATAACTTTCGTGAGACATCAGAGGTAGACACACGACAGCGGAATCATCCTGTCCTGTTGTATATTATATATTACAAATGCTGGCTGTTGATAAATGCGGGGTATTAGTAAAATACACTGTAACGTACGCTGAGTACCTTTTTATTAGAGACTTGCATCACTCGATAGAGCTTGAAACATGCTGCCTGCAGTCCATAAAAATATCTATCAGAGCCACACTTGACTTAGCTTTCCGAACATTTATTTTTTTGCGCTCTTAGCTCATAGTGAAATTCAGTAGACTCAGGATTTCGAACTCAATCGACTGAAGGTGGAAATATAGGAGTAGTTCTTCTCTTCACCAACACTCACACCCTTTACATTTGTATACTCGTACTTCGTCACCTCTTTAACAATAGTTCTTTACTAATAGCTTCTCTGAGCAAGGCTCTGTGACACGAATGTTTTCAGAATATCTAGAATAACTTAACATAGATGCTGCATATCAAAATTAGCTCTAGAAAGATTTATGATTCCAAGATACACGTGTTCTAATTTTGCGAAGTCATGTTGCTAACGAATGATTTGATGTGTATATGCTTTTAGTGGAAGTATACATAGAAAAAAAATTTAGTGTTTAACGTGCGGAACGATAATATTAACAATAAGTATGTTGCCTTGAAAGTTTTTTTTTTTCCTTTTCACCATGACAAGACGAATTCAACAGGTTGCGTTTAGGCGCACTATTTACTTCGTCGATGAACTTGTAAAGTACCCACAATCGCTATTCAAATAGTGGTTGTATGAGAGCAGCATACAACTTCTAGATAAATGTCACTAAAAAACAAGTTAAATGCAGAAAGAGA